CGGGTGAAGATAACCAGGGTTCCCGAACAGTGACTCTTAACCTTGGCTGCCCATTGGAATCACCTGGGAACTTTAAAAAGTGCCGCTGCCTGGATCTCACCCCAAGAGATTTCGAATTAATTGGCTTGGTCATTGGGATTCTGATATGTAGTCACTGTTGAGCATCACTGGTCTAAAGGATGCTTCTCAAACCTGGATATGCAAACAGATCACCTGGGGAGCATGGTAAAAATGCAGATTCTGATTCAAGAAGTCTGGGTGGCCCCTGCGGTTCTGCGTTTCTAACAAGCAGATACTGCAGGTTTGTGCACCTCGCTTTAGTTTGCAAACGTTGAACCTCTAGACAGTGGAGAACCACGGAAACAAGGGACCAGGAGGTGCTGGGTGAGAACAGCCAGGTAGTATTTTATTAGGTGCTTTGAAGGCTACACTCGGACTTGTGGTAAAAGCATCATTAGCAGCTTTCATTGTGTCTTGTTTACATGTGAACTGCACGAGCTTTTACACTTTTTTTTTTTTCAGCCTGCTTTGGGGTTTTTAAGTTAAAATTTGATTGTCCCCCCAGAATTAAGAGTTCCTGATTTCTTTTACATTCCTCTTCACATCCCCCTCTATAATTAGTCTTGATCTCCTAGAATGGCAAGTTCCCGTGTCCTAATATTCAGCAGAACCATAGGAGAGCAGCACCGTGGTCAGACAGGCGGGGAAGGCTATGAGAATGTTGGAGAATTCCGTTTTCTAGATTGGAGTACAAAGAAGAGTATTGGACGGGAATTTCTTCTAACACTGATATGCTTAGTTTAAATACACTGAGTTCAAGTGTTATAAATTTTATTTTACTTACTATGTTTTTTAATCTCAGTTGTCATGGGATTTTTCGTATGCTTTTTCTAAGGACCAGTGGAGTATTACTGATTCACAGACCACTTCAGCATTCGACAGCAGGTCTAAAGGCGAACTTAGGGACTCTGGGACTGCCCCGGACCCAGAAGCTAAGAATACTGTGAAAAAGACTAGTCTCTTTGAAGAGGATGATGAAGATGATCTGTTTGCTATTGCTAAAGACAGGTAAAGTGGTCATTGCAAGAAACCCTTTAACAGTGTCTGTGGTAAGCAGTGACCAGTATTTGGTGGGCAAGATGTCATTACTTTGGATGACCTGCTAATCGTTCATCACCTAGTA